ATGCCTATGGTATTGTGACACAAGAAGGGCTGAGCTGAATCGAAGCGTTCCCACAAGTTCCTCATCTCAATTACAACCATCAATTCATTTTTTTTTCTGGTTCATGCTCTCAGGCTCTTGGGGCAAAAAAGGTCCCCACCAATTGTACAAGTTCTCCCATGAAGATGAGAGAGGCCTGTAATTGGCATCATAGGGAGACCTCAACTATGAGAGACAAAATGAGAAAACAAATCCAGACAATCACATTGGCATTGATCTGGAAAGAATCTATTTGCAAATGATGGTGGAAAATAAGTATTTGGTCACCTACAAACAAGCAAGATTTCTGGCTCTCACAGACCTGTACCTTCTTCTTTAAGAGGCTCCTCTGTGGCAGATCATTACCTGTCATCAATGGCACCTACTTGTTATCAGTATAAAAGACACCTGTATTGGTACCACTCCAAACTCCAAGGGGAGCTGTCGAAGGACAAGAAACAAAATTCTTACTGCAACCAGGCTGGAAGACTGAATCTGCACCTAGGCGGGGGACAGAGATCTGTCCTGACAAGTGACCATGTGATTGGTCACATGACCAGAAACGGTCCCGCAGCTCCTAACTATTATTAGGGACCAAAAATGCTGCGAGCGCTCTCTCAGCACCAAAACCTCTTGCTGTCCATAGATGCAAATGTGTGGCATAAGCTACGCCAAAAATATGGATTATGTGGGCGACAAGGGGGTTTAAAGTGATTCCTAAATCTCCTTTTTTAAAATAATAAACATGTCATAACCAATCTGTGCAATGGTCTTGGTCTCTATCCTCCTCTCCATACCCTGGGTGCTCCTGGCTCCTTCTCTTCTCCGTGTGACACCATAGGAAGCTGCACTATTAGCATGACCTATGGTAGACACAAGAAGGGTGAGCTGTCAGCAGTCCCACTCCTTCCAAGGTCTTCACAGCTGGTTCGTGGGCCATGAGGCAAGTCTCATGCGCAGTCCTATTGACGGCACGCTTGCATATGCCGGTGGTGTCATCGGCTGAAGGGGATGTGAATATCTTTTTAGCGGTGCAGGATTGGAAGATGTTCACTGGGGACCTACAGGTAAGATGTATGTATTGGTACCCTCAAAGGGGCTGCTGGACCATGAGGCAATTGTTTCTGAGCCGTCTAAGGCCACCTCACACCCAGAAGACCATGAGGCAAGTCTCTGAGCAGTCTAAGAGGGTTTTCACATCTGGGGACGCCCATGAGCAAGTCTTCCTGAGCAGTCTAAGGCCTCACAACTAGGGGACCAGGAGGCAAGTCTCTGAGCAGTCTAAGGCTTCACAACTGGGGACCATGAGGCAAGTCTCTGAGCCGTCTAAGGCCTCACAGCAGAAGACCATGAGGCAAGTCTCTGAGCAGTCTAAGACTTCACATCTGGGGACCATGAGGCAAGTCTCTGAGCAGTCTAAGGCTTCACATCTGGGGACCATGAGGCAAGTCTCTGAGCAGTCTAAGGCTTCACATCTGGGGACCATGAGGCAAGTCTCTGAGCAGTCTAACGCTTCACAGCTGGGGACCATGAGCAGTCTAAGGCCTCACAACAGAAGACCATGAGGCAAGTCTCTGCGCAGTGTAAGGCTTCACAGCTGGGGACCATGAGGCAAGTCTCTGAGCCGTCTAAGGCCTCACAGCAGAAGACCAGGAGGCAAGTCTCTGAGCAGTCTAAGGCTTCACAACTGGGGACCATGAGCAAGTCTCTGAGCAGTCTAAGGCTTCACAACTGGGGACCATGAGCAAGTCTCTGAGCAGTCTAAGGCCTCACAGTAGAAGACCAGGAGGCAAGTCTCTGAGCAGCTAAGGCTTCACAACTGGGGGAGGCAAGTTCACAACTCACAGCAGGGACCATGAGGCAAGTCTCTGAGCGTCTAAGACTTCACATCTGGGGACCATGAGGCAAGTCTCTGAGCAGTCTAAGGCTTCACATCTGGGGACCATGAGGCAAGTCTCTGAGCAGTCTAAGGCTTCACATCTGGGGACCATGAGGCAAGTCTCTGAGCAGTCTAACGCTTCACAGCTGGGGCCCATGAGCAGTCTAAGGCCTCACAACAGAAGACCATGAGGCAAGTCTTTTGCATCTGGTTACCTTGCACCTCTGCAAAACTTCTGCTACCCATTGCAGTCTCCGGAACACTCACAGTCATAGCAATCAGTACGTGGTCTTTACTCACAAGTCCCAAAGACAGCCACTACCTTCTGTCTTCCTTTGGACATGGCCCAGTGAGTGAATCAGCCCTTCTCCAGACCAGGTCCTACAATCAGTCTCTTGGAAGATCCACCCAAGCTCTCAGCTGCTGAGGCTTCTATCACATCTACACAGTCAATGGGCTACCTAAAGTAACCCTAAGGAGAAGGATCTCAGCTTTCCAGTGCTACAAACTATTTGTCATCTCTCCAGCCCCCTACTGGACACTCAGGTATATTCAGGTTAGTAATTTGAAGCTTCTTCCAGAGGCAGGGGGAAGCGATCAAACTCCCAGCCTGTGAAACTCTGAACAGATCAGGACAAACAATCTCTGCTCCCTTGAGGGAGCCCAAAACTAAATTTACCTGCCTATCCTACACTAGGAGGGTGTTTACACTAAATATAAACGTACCCCTAGGTAAAAGTAATAATAAGAGTTTACTACCACTTAAAGTGGTTCTAAAGGCTCAAGGTTTTTACCTTCATGCATAGAATAAAAAAAACTTTCTGTGTACATCACAGCCCTCCTAATACTTTCCTGAGCCCCATCGCGATCCAGCAATGTGCATGAAGACCTCTGAGGACCCTCCATCCTCATTGACCGAGACAGCAGACCATTGGCTCCCGCTGCTGTCAATTATAGCCAGTGAGTCAATGAGGAGAGAGAAGGGGTGGGGCAGGGCTGGACTGACAACTCATGGGGCCCCCGGGCAATAGGGGATCATGGGGCCTCTGTGTCATCGCCCACACCCAAAAAAGCCTATGAAAGGTACCAGGGGCATCTCGTGTATCTCGTGGGGCCCCCTACTGACCCCGGGCCCTCGGGCAGTGCCCGAGTGCTCGAATGGTCAGTCCGCCCCTGGGGAGGGGCCAAGCTGTGGCTCTGTGTCTGAAGGGATAAACAGAGCAGCGGCTAAGGAGCGAGCCTGCTCAGGTGGCCACATAGCAAGCTACTTGCTGTGGGGGCATTTGGCCGAGCACCGGCGGAGGACAAGAGAAGAGGAGGATTGGGGCTGCTCTGTGAAAAAACATTTTTTAACAAAACATTCTTTTAATATTACCTTAACCTCTTCACACCGGCCGAACGCAAATGTGCGGCCTCCTGGCGTCTGGGCCTAGACTCTGAGCGGCCGCACATTTGCGTTCCATTAAAAAAGAACATATATGCTGAGAGCGCGCGCCCTGCGCGCTCCCTGCACACATGTTTGGTACTCACGGAAAGGTCCCGATCTCCTCTTTCAATCGGGACCTTTCCCGATCATGTGACCGCCCTGACGGTGCGTCACGGTGGTCACATGACTCTAAACCCCGCCTGGCCTCCCGGCTTCTAAAACTCTTCTGAAAAGGGCTGGGAGCAGGGGCGGACTGACAGCTCATGGGGCCCCCAGGCAATAGGGGATCATGAGTCCCCTGTGTCCTTGCCCACACTCAAAGCACACCCAAAAAAAGCCTATAAAAGGTACCAGGGGCATTTCATAGGGCCCCTTACTGACCCCGGGCCCTGGGGCAGATCCCGAATGCTTGAATGGTCAGTCTGCCCCTGGCCGGGAGGCGCCGGCATGAAGGGGTTAAGGAAACAGAAACAACATGGTTTCCCTTTTACAGCTGTAACTTTTCCTGTTATTGGACTAATCTACTTTCTCTTCCATATTAAAAGAACAAAATATGTCTTTACTTAAAATTTGCAGAGGGACCTCGCCAGCCAACAAGAGCGGCAGACTATTATTCACCGAGTCATGCCTGTTCTTGTTGCGCACAGCTGCAAAATTGCACCCAAAAGATCTTTAATTTCTTTTTTGTCATTTTAAAAATAGCTACAAGCCTTTGCAGTCCCCAACATCTTCAGAAAATAACGTCCCCAGATACTTGCGCTGCATGAAAATTATATCGCCGAGTAGAAGAAAATGAACTCACCTCTTACAAGACTTCCCTTTAGAATTCTACATAATCCACATGGAAGGCAAGTCATTGTAAAATAATTCATTCGCAATTATCTCGTCAAAATTATCTCAATGATGATGTGACGTACCCGAGAAATTGTCCATCCCAAGTTGTCCTGGAAGTCATGTATAAATGGCGGACTGTCCATTGTGTTGAGGCACACCATGCCAGGCCATCTTCTCTAAGCTCCATACATCAGTTTGACGATTGCCTTCAAAGCTTCTGACCTTCCAATGAGGTTATCCAAGATCCTTGTGTTCTTAGCGCTGGTTACCGTTGTCCACGAATCAACTCAATCCAGGTGCCGCCTAGAGAAGCAGAGTATAGAGTCCTTCTGGAAGGACGGGGACATCATCGTTGGGGTCATCACATTGATCCATTCCACCATTTATCAGCCTCACGTGACCTATCAGGAGAAACCAGCAGCTGCATCTTGTGAAGAGTAAGTTGATGTTCAGTTTTCTTCTTCCTCACGTACAGATCATTAGAGTTTTCAGTCCAATAAATGTGCAATACATGCAACAAAGTTTTTACAGTATTTTTTTATTTTTGGGTTTGATTAAAAAAAAGAAAAGTCGGTATGTAAAGCCTGGAATCGGCAACAATGCCCCTGGTAGCTCAAAGGACCATGTGATCTTCTACCTTGACTCTGGGTCGTATGAAGCCAGATTTATTTCTGTATTTATTTATTTTTGACTTAAAACATTTGTGTGTTTTTTTTCCCGCTCTCCCCGGACCCCGCATTCACTATATCCGCTCTCCCCGGACCCCGCATTCACTATATCCGCTCTCCCCGGACCCCGCATTCACTATATCCCCGGACCTCGCATTCACTATATCCGCTCTCCCCGGAGCCTGCATTCACTATATCCGCTCTCTCCGGACCCCGCATTCACTATATCCGCTCTCCCCGGACCCCGCATTCACTATATCCCCTCTGCCCGGACCCTGCATTCACTATATCCGCTCTCTCCGGACCCCGCATTCACTATATCCGCTCTCCCCGGACCCCGCATTCACTATATCCCCGGACCTCGCATTCACTATATCCGCTCTCCCCGGACCCTGCATTCACTATATCCGCTCTCCCCGGACCCTGCATTCACTATATATTCCGCTCCACTCTCCCCGGACCCCCACATTCACTATATCCCCTCTCCCCAGATCCCCTGCATTCACTATATCCGCTCTCCGGACCCCTCTCACTATATCCGACCCGGACCCCGCATTCACTTATATCCGCTCTCCCTGGACCCGCATTCACTATATCCGCTCTCCCCGGACCCCGCATTCACTATATCCCTCTCCCGGACCCTGCATTCACTATATCCCCTCTCCCCGGACCCCGCATTCACTATATCGCTCTCCCCCCACCGACCCTGCATTCACTATATCCGCTCTCCCCGGACCCCGCATTCACTATATCCGCTCTCCCAGGACCCCACATTCACTATATCCGCTCTCCCCGGACCCCACATTCACTATATCCGCTCTCCCCGGACCCCGCATTCTCTATATCCGCTCTCCCCGGACCCCGCATTCACTATATCCGCTCTCCCCGGACCCCGCATTCACTATATCCGCTCTCCCTGGACCCCGCATTCACTATATCCGCTCTCTCCCCGGACCCCTCATTCACTATATCCGCTTCACTATATCCGCTCTCCCCGGACCCCGCATTCACTATATCCGCTCTCCCCGGACCCCGCATTCACTATATCCGCTCTCCCCGAACCCCGCATTCACTATATCCGCTCTCCCCGGACCCCCTCATTCCCCACTCATATATCCGCTCTCCCCGGACCCTCATTCACTATATCCGCTCTCCCCGGACCCCGCATTCACTATATCCGCTCTCCCCGGACCCTGCATTCACTATATCCGCTCTCCCGGACCCCGCATTCACTATATCCGCTCTCCCCGGACCCTCATTCACTATATCCGCTCTCCCCGGACCCTCATTCACTATATCCGCTCTCCCCGGACCCCTCATTCACTATATCCGCTCTCCCCGGACCCTCATTCACTATATCCCCCCCGGACCCTCATTCACTATATCCGCTCTCCCCGGACCCCGCATTCACTATATCCGCTCTCCCCGAACCCCTCATTCACTATATCCGCTCTCCCCGGACCCCGCATTCACTATATCCGCTCTCCCCAGACCCTCATTCACTATATCCGCTCTCCCCAGACCCCTCATTCACTATATCCGCTCTCCCCGGACCCCTCATTCACTATATCCGCTCTCCCCAGACCCTCATTCACTATATCCCGCTCTCTCCCCGGACCCCGCATTCACTATATCCGCTCTCCCCCCAGACCCTCATTCACTATATCCGCTCTCCCCGGACCCTCATTCAGTATATCCGCTCTCCCCAGACCCTCATTCACTGTATCCGCTCTCCCCGGACCCCGCATTCACTATATCCGCTCTCCCCGGACCCCGCATTCACTATATCCGCTCTCCCCGGACCCCGCATTCACTATATCCGCTCTCCCCGGACCCTGCATTCACTATATCCGCTCTCCCCAGACCCTCATTCACTATATCCGCTCTCCCCGGACCCCGCATTCACTATATCCCGCTCTCCCCGGACCCCGCATTCACTATACCCGCTCTAAGGCCGTGTTCCATATAATGGACACTAAGTATACTCTCTTCATGGACAGTTTTGTCATTAGGTATTATCGGGATGTGTTGGCTGTGATATTCGCCATTGAGGAGATCAATCAGAACCGGAACCTCCTGCCAAACCTGACTTTGGGTTTTGATATATTTGACTCATGTGTGTCGGAGGCGAGAGCGATTCAAGCCGCCATGATGTTGCTCTGGGAGAAGAAGGACTTGGTCTATGATGGCACCGGAGGCTGGAAGCTTCCATTCCTGGCCGGTATTGTTGGAGATTCCATGTCAACTTTATCCATCCCGATTGCCAGGATAGCGGGTCTGTGCAACTACCCCCAGGTACAATTCTCATGAATCAATGCTAATATATGAGTTCCAACAACCCCCCCCTCCCCCCTCCCCCCAGTCTCCTATTACCTAAAGTTCCCCTTCTTTATATGCTGTTCTCTCCCGGGGTGGGGGGGGGGGGGGGGGGGGGGGGGGCACCATCTGTGTTTATGAATCATTCAGGGTTACCTAGGTGGGTTCTGGACAACATGGCTGGTGATAATTTTACTTTGGATATTCTCTATAATGTATTTATATGGTGGTCTTGTGGCCATAACAATAGTCATATTTTCCAATAGAGATTTTTTTTGTATAATTGAACTTTTTTCTGATTACCGTTTTTAACTAATTTTGAAGTCAGGGCATCCGAAGTTGTTTCTGTGTTGTAATCTAAAGTTCTCCATATGATGAGGCAATCTCTGTGTGGACCTACTCACCTCCCAAAGGACTCATCTACATGGGTGGTAAACCTTACTGCTGCACCAAAAAGTGATCTGTAGTAGACTGCTTTTCAGAGGACATTTGATAGGTGGCGATTTGGCAATATGGCTGTTTTAACCCTGAAAATGCAGACAAGACTGGAAATGCTCACAGTTGTGGCACAGCCCTATTCACATGAATGGGTGATGTTCAGTGGTGTTGCTGCCTTCTGAATGCGACATGCCATTTAATTTTTGCCATAACCATGAAGCAAAACATCGTGGCTCAGTAAAGTGTACAGCCCTATGCTGTTGTCTGCCATAGTTTAGGTGGGTGGTCAGGAGAAGGTAAAACTGCAGCTCACCCACCTACTGTTACAGCCTCCCGGCTGCTCATGTGACTAAAACCAAAGGATATAAAGGGTCCCTCCCTACATTATCCAAAACTAAAAAAAGTTGGCATTTACATAATCTTAAGGGTTAATGTAAAATGAGTTTTCATAGCCCAGCCAAAGTGCATGTACCTTCGTCCTGTGAGCATGTGGCAACAAGTAACTGTAAATAGGCTGTAGTCTGTGCTGTTCAAATGTTAGTCATTGATTTTAAATGGAAAATACCACATTTGGCCACTAGATGGTGCTAAGTATTGTAGGTATTTCCTAGCGCTCCATCTAGTGGACAAATGCGGTATTTTCTAGTTAAAATCAATGACCAAAGTTGGAACAGCAAAGTATATAAAGCCTATTTACATTTGTTATATTGCCACATTTGCACTGAATGAATGTACACGCATTGTTGTGTTTTACCAACTATGCCATATTGAGGGTGGGGCCTACTGCCCCCGTGCACTAGGCATACTCTTGCTCATCAATCCCTGGCACTAAGAAGGAACTGCGGTCATGTGCACAGTCTAATGTGGTGGACCACCTGGCACCATGACTAGGTGCCTCCGTCAAACAGTGCCTCCTGCCCTCCAAACCCTTCCAGCAGACCGATAGTTGGTAGTAGCCGGGGCAAAATGGAAAAACGCTGCATTAGGCAGCTCTCTAGGACCAGCCAGGGCCCAGTAAGAAATATGCCCAAGAAGAGTTCCATATCCACGTCTGGTGAAGGTGCATCTGTCCAACACAATGTTCCCATAGATGCACCACTGTTCTGGGGACTTCCTGGCCACATAATCCCAGTAGATACTCTTGTCCAGTCAAAGGGTTTCATAACCCAGCTCTCCTCCATGCTCTGCCTGTGAGAAGCAGACAAAATCCCTGGTGTCCTCCATGGGCAGAAGGCCAGCCCCTAGTCCCCTCCAAAAGCTCCTGTCCCAGTTGGGTCATCTAATATTAAGGCAGCCTCCAGACTGTCTCCCGGATGAGCTAGCACTGCATGTAAAATGATGCTGAGTCTCGGATGAAGTGTTGTCCCATGTTCTACATGCAGTGACTATTATGTGTTGCATTTGTAATGGCGGGTAGAGCCGCACCACTTTCACCAGCCAGTGTACCTCGCTCCCAGTAACAAAATGATCTCCCGACCTCGTGTGTGTCGGGTATTAAATCTTCCTCTTCCATACTATTCAGATAGGCTGAAGACCTCCATAACGTTGGTCTGCTCTCAGGTTGCTATGGGAGACATACCACTAGGGAAGGAGCCCAAGTAACAACCCCCTTGCTGCCGGAGGACACCTCACCACCCAGGGACCACAACTCAACTGGTTGCTTAGTGTCTTAAACGTTATCGTATTCCCAGTGGCAATAACCTTGGTCCTCTTTGATGTACTGACTAGACTGTAGTGCTATCACAGGCCCGGGCTCTTTAATACTCCAGACCCCATTATGCACCCCTCTGAATAACTTCAGACCAGGCTCAGAGCCTGAAGAGACTTTAACATTACAGTCGCATGTGAGCAAGTCCAATCCCTAGTCCTAACTACAGTTACATGGCTGCCCAGGCATACCATCTACAGGTGATAGTCCTTCTATGGTAGAAGTCCACGACTTGGATTTCCTCTGGAACCCTTTTGCCTTGACGGACTGCAAGGTGCAGCAGTCCTCATTCTATCTTCAGGTTTGTCTGTGTCTTCTTCCCATCAGCAGTTCTCAAAGTGCAGAGCCCTCCCCCCTTTTATATACAGCACACAGAGAGAGGCAGAGCCCAGAAAGAGTGGGAAATTGCAGAACCAGCACTAACCCTTCCCGAACCCGGGCAGACTAGCTAGCTTACTAGCATGGTACATTCCCTTTGTAGGCAGCTCAGAGGCGTAGCCAGGATATTTTGTGCCCGGGGACAAATGGCTACCTCAGGCCCCCCTCCCTCACTTCATATGGTCCCTGTAGACACCCCCCCGTCCCGATCACATTGCCCCTTCCCATTCATCCATGGCACTACTCACCCGCTCAGCTCTCCCCTCGTCCCCTCCAGCACATGCCTGGCTCACTGACCTCCTCTCTCCTCCTCTCCTGGCCGGCTCCTCTCTCCTCTCATAACTCACTGTGGATGGCAGACGTATCAGATGACACGTCTGCTGCAGCCGCTGCAGTGATCTTGTGACTTCATTTTGGCGCCCCTGTACCTTGGCGCCCGGGTACATATATACCCCCTGTCCCCCCCTTAGCTACGCCTCTGAGGCAGCTGCCCTCAACCTGCCGATATGATTGGGCCGATGGCTATGAATATTTCTTGTAAATCAACCCCATAACCTATAAAGCCCCATCTGAAATGATGATGCCCCTTGCTATAGACACCCAAACTATCCTTCTTTACCCGTAGATTTTTTTATTAATCCAAATTTAGGATTGATTAGATCAGGAAGATCTCCAACAAAAGCTTTTCTACTCATGTCATGACGGTTGCTGTCCTCAACTTTTTTCAGATTAGTTTTGGTGCTTTTGATCCAGATTTGGGCGACAGGATTCAGTTCCCCTCCTTCCTCCGCACGGTACCCAACGAGAACATCCAGAACAAAGCCATTTCTCAGCTGTTAAAACACCTGGAGTGGACCTGGGTTGGGATTCTGACCAGAGATGATGACTTGGGGGTACTAGATGGACAAAACCTGAAAGATGACATTATTTTGAACCAAGGCTGTGTGGACTTCCTGGAGAAAATCCATTTCCGTTACGCCCCTGATAAACTCAAGAAAATCCTGGATGTTGTCATGGATTCCACCGCAGTTGCCGTTGTTGTCTATTGCGAGGAGATGCACGTCAAGCCTCTCCTGGACATGATGTCGGAGAATGGGAAAAAGGGCAAAATCTGGATCTACACCTTGAGTTTTACATTCATTCCGGGAATGTTTTCAGAAAGCAACGCCAGATTACTGAACGGTTCCATCGGCCTGGTCCTACACAGCGAACCCATGCCTCAGTTCGGCCAAGATCTGCACCATCTTCATCCATCCAGATATACAGGGGACATCTTCATAAAGCAGTTTTGGGAAACGGCCTTTGAGTGCCAATGGCTTACTGATGGAAATGCTGCAAATGATAGCAACGGTATTAGAATTTGTACGGGCAATGAAAGTCTAGATGACGCCGATTCCCTATTTGAACTAATCGATCTAAGTTATACCTTCCAGGCCTACATCGCGGTCTACGCCTTCGCTTACGCACTTCATCACCTCTTACAATGTACAAATCACACCTTTCCTTCGGGGAGCTGCAATGAGGAAAATCTCCTGCCCTGGAAGGTATGAATTCAATTTTTGTTTGCGAAAATTTTGATTCAATCAGCAGAACCTGTAAATTTCTCCTTGGCCTCAACATTTGTACGACTTGTGGAAAGCAAAAAAAGAGGAAGTACT